GCATGGTTTCCAGTTTGTATACCAGTACAGTTGTAATCTATTATTGGGACGGGGTGCTGATCTCCAGGCTTGACATGAACAGGCACAACTGAAAAGGGGAGATAAACTTGAAATGACACATGGTGACACATCACAGACTTCAGGTACATTGGTAGATGCATGGCAATCCACCACTGCAAGAGCTGCAGGACAGGAAAGGCATATAATAGTAGATCCATGTGATGTGCTAGTCCTGCGGGACTGTACCTGTCCACACAAGCATAGACTTTGCATTGGAGAACAGTCATTTACTGAAAAAGACAGTAATACTGCTCTCATTCTGTGGCTTCCGTATACCTGGAAAAAAATATTTGTTTCCTTTCTGCTGTAATCACACATTAAGTGATTTTTTTTCTGCGTTGCAGAGAAGTGGTTTCAGTTTACAGCTCATATTGAAATTACCTGAATCAATTTAAACCTTTAAGCAAAACACACTTCCTTGTAAGGTGACAGTTTGTATGTTGAGTCTCATTTTGAAGCAAGCCAAAAAAAAAAAAAATCAGAAATACATGAAAAATTGTCCTAAACTCCCCTCTCAAGCTTCAGGTCACATTGGGCAGGGCGAAGAGAGACTTTGCCCAGCTTTTTCTCGTCTTGTACTGGAAACAGTCTTGCCAAGCTCTCATTCTGCTACCTTTAGGCAGCAGTTAAGTAAAAGGACAAACAGATGTCACTGAGTATACATGGTTTGTTTTTTTGTGCTGAGGTGCTTAAAAGCATGTGCACAAAGTAAGATGCGGTGCTGTTATTCTGGGCTTTATATGGCCTTTAGTATGAGCCAGAAACACTGAAAAGTCTCCTTCCTATTCCAAATACTTAATCGTAATCCTCAAATTGCTGCTTGTGCCATTGTTCCAACTGCCTTCCAACAACAGACTAAAGGTTGTGTTAATGTGAAGATTAAATTTGTTCTGCTGGCTTAAACCGAGGAAATCAGTGACTAGGCAGAAACATGGAGCAAGGTGGAGGATTCCCCTTGTGTGCAATTCCCAGCTTCCAAGGTTGGTTTGCTTTGTGTGTGTTCATTATTTTAGAAATTTGTCATATGCCATTTTTAGAAATAACACATGAATGGTGTAGGTAGATATTTAGCAGGCTGATTATAACAGTGTAATCATGGGTCATATTTGGGACCTGAACTACTTTATAATCCATATCTGCTTTGACCTTTAATTGTCACCACATAAAGTAGCAGGCACATCCTCTGCTGCCTAGGAACCAGACTGGGCTGACCGAATGCACCTGCTGTGACACCAACTCAGCACCTAGCTACAGCAGTGTTGTACGAACACCAATGAATTTACCCTCTAGAGACCTGTCAGTCCTAACCCCATTTAGCAGATGAGGAAACAGACACACTGGAAAGTGAAGTAGCTTTCTCTAAGGTCCCACAGGAAGTTTGTGGCTAAACTACAAACAGAATCCACATCTCCTTGGTCCTCATTCAGAAGGAGAGCTGCAGAATGAGACATACTGCTCTCCAACCTTTAACTTTACCTTCATGGTTCCCAGTGGTTTACCTATCTGGTAAAAGGGCAGAAGTACATGGGTCTTGACACGCTTGGTATTGTTTTTCATGGACTTGAAGGATCTCCAGGAGCTGTCAAACAGATGTTTTGTTTTCTGTAGGAGAATCAAAATATTAGATAGAAAAAGACACTTCAATTAAAGTTCCTCCCATTGCTTCATTGTGTTTCTTTAACATGTCTCCAAACAGCTTGTATTGCAGAGTCAGAGTGTCAGCCATGTGCTGTGATCCACAAAGAAGCAAAGGTGGGATTGGTGATTTAGGAAGGCAAAAAAAGAACGTTCCAAGGGATTGGTTTAACATTTCAAAATAAGGGAAGCCTCGGAGAACCACATTTTGCCCACATTGGTTTGGCTATGGCAAGGCTGCTGGCTTATTTTCATGACTGAAAATGCCCTTTACATATAAACTTGGAGGAAAAGCAACTGTAACATTTAGGTATCCCGTCACCTTAAATTTGCATCTCACAATGACTCACCAACAGACACTTGGCATTCCCTTTTTTATATTAAAAACTTTTTTATTGAGATGATGTAATTACAGGCATTTTAAAAATTATTTGCAACTCACTGGCCCTGAGAATAGGCTTTTTTGTTTGTTTTGTTACATTCATTCAATTCAGTCCCTTTACCCCACACCTTAAAAAAAGCCATCATTAATAAAAACAGACTAGAATTTATCTTTAAAAAAAAAAAAATGCATTCTGGATTTGCCCTTCGTTGCAGTCATATACTAAAAAGAAATCATGAAGAATACACGCTCAGCATTTATGTGAGATTAGGGGAACTTGCTATTACTTAGTGTTTATGCAGGTGGCCCCAATAGTGTTCTTCTGAAGCGACAGTCCTCAAAAGGTTTGAGACTTTAATCGGTAGACGGTTGCCTTATCAGCCATGGAACGGCCATCTGTCCTGCCATAGTAGCCCAGATCCCTTTCCATATGCACACAGTGGCTTATTCAGATTGGATTGTTGATGGTTGGGAGAGCCCCATCTGAATGCCAAATTTGAATGCCCCCTTATCAGCAGCAAAAGTGACTGTTCCTCAGAATCTTTCACTCTATTCTGATTCCCCTTGGAGGAAACAGATAGTTTGGCTGTTTGACAGCTAGCAAATTCTGCATTGTGAATTGAAGGCTGAGGAGGTGGAAAAGGCAAAGTTATTCTTGACAGGCATACCTCCCTTTCCCAACAGGTTTGTCTTTTTGGTGTCCTGTCCACAAGCCATGTGTCAGATGTGAGAGGAAAAGGAATCTCTCTTACAGCTGTCAGAGAAGTGTGTTAAACAAAGCTTGTAAGGTTGCCTCCCAAATCCCAAAGGCAACTGAACTTGAGCAAGGCCCACAAGATACTACTGCAAGTCCTTGTGATCTGACCAGTTGCTTCATCATGCACTGCATTTCTTGTTACTATGCCCCCTCCCTGAGCCACTGTGATTTGACTGCAACTTGATGACAGTACTGGTACTTAGCTGAAAAATTCACCATATTAAGGACCTACTTTGAGTCCAGAGACTATTTAAGTTTTTTGTTATTGTTGCATCTGTATAGGGGCATAGAAAGCTATTGTTCATTAAAGACACAGAAGGTATCTCAAGATGCCTGTAGCTCTGTGCTGGAAAATAATTCCCAATGTTCCACAAAAACAAAAAGGAAACATGTAATCCTTGATTATTTGGCAATTTTGTCCTGGAGTCTTCTCTCAAGTTTTTTCAGCTAAAAAAATATCCAAATTCTCCATGATATTTCATACTCTGGAACTGTGTGGCAATTCAGATTCCCTTTTCTTTTGCCTTTCACTCACTCTGTAATGACACTTCACTCTGCCAATACAAAAAGCAAGGAATTGAGGACAAATTGGAGAACTGTCAAATGTCTTAGGTTTACAGGAATCAAATACAGGCAAGGTTCAAAATCTATGGTTTAGCAAAGACTTTAGATACTCAAGTTCCTTTCCTTGTTCCCCCACTGTGTCATAACAATAGCAGGAGCAGAAAAAATTAAAAACTATTCATGTATTGGTCATGGCCAGTGCACTAGAGAATCTGCACAGCTCCCAGCATAAACTTTTCCTTTCTGACACCTTAAAATTGAAAGAAATACAGGAAAACAGTAAAGATCTCTATTTAGCCATAATGATTTTTAATGTTTTTACTTCCTCTTATTTGCATTCTCTCCATAAATTTTGTCTTGGGCTTTCTTGGTCAGAGGTCATCAGATCTCTGTGCTATAGCTGTAGCCAGACTGCCCGTCCAATCTAAATATATGCCCCTGAGAAAGGGCTGCCATGTGTGCCCCTTAAGCAGGTTGATGGGAAGATAGGTCACCAAAACTAAAACCAACAAAATCTCCTCCCCTCCCCACCCCCCGGCTGCCCCGCCTCCCTTCAGAGTTGGATTATTCACCACAAGGCGAAAATCACTCAGTACCTCCCATTTTCACTTTTTTTTCTGGTGCCCCAAAAGGTTTGCAGATATACAGCACAGATGGGAAACAGATGAGCATCTCTTCTGCAGACAGATGCTCCTGCTGTTCTTTGATGATGCAACATTTGGAAAAACAACAAAACAATATATAGTTATTTGGTAAGCACATCATCTAAGAGTATGGAAGGCTGTTTCATTAGGTGGCTGGAAAAAGCTGAGGGATAGTTGTATTGCCTGTCTGGCTTCATCTGAAGCCAAATGTGAAGGGGCTGTCCTCATTCCATAATATTTGGCTGTGTCCTTAATGAACCCCGTTTGCCCTACAGTAAGTGACTCAATGCACCTTACAGTGAAATTGGACTTAGTTTATTTAAGAATACAGGGTACCACTGGTAACCAAATGGGAGGTTTTCTGGAGAAATTAACATTCCTGTTAAGTATTTGGCATAGACTAAGTGTTGTATGGGTTTAATAAATGATACCCCACCTTCCTCTGACCATTTTAGGCTTTTTGGTTAGATGGAAGAAATCAAGGTAGTTATTAAATCCATTTCTAACTTGTATGAACCCATAGAAGAGGTTGTGCTAATGAAGACAGAAAGGTTTTCTTTCCTTTGGACATCACAAGATACCTACAGAAAAACTCCAATCTCCATGTTGAAAAATCACGTGCATTTTCTCCCAAACCAAATACACACTTGACTGCTTGAATTTCCTTCACTTTAAAGGGGACACCATGTCTTCTGAAACCTTCAAGTGTCACGTCGATGTGTAACACTGCAAAGGCAAATAGTTTCTCCCATCTCAGACATAAAAGCCCACACAGATGGAAGGATCAATGCTTCTACGAAACTTCCTGCCTGCAGCCTAGGCAAAGCTGACCGCTCCATCCAACGCACAGCTTACCCTAAATCAGGGGTTAGCAACCCCCAGCACATGTGCCAAAGCATGGCACATGAGGCCATTTTACTTACCACTCCACAGCCAGCCTGGACTCTGGGCAGCGCCCAGGCTGCTTGCAGCCGGTGGTGGGGAGACTACAAGCACTGCTGCGAGCAGCCTGGACTCCATGGCAGGCAGCAGCTGCCCAAAGCCTGGACCGGATGTAGCAGGCATGCTGGAGTCTGCAGATGCACCAGGCTCCACAGCTCCGGTAAAGCTCTGTAGTGGCAGTGGTTGCACGTTCACTTTGAGGTGCACAGTCAGAAATGGGCCAGGGGAAATGCAACTTCAGCCTTTTGCCTGCCATGCACCCCGAGATGCCCATGCAGCCACCATCAGACTCCGATGCAGCCGTTTACAGCTTCCCAGCTGCCTGGTGCTGCTGCCCAGATCCCGGGCCAGCTGTGGCAAACAGCTGGCAGGCTGCAAACAGCTATACCAGGATCCAGCCAGGCTCCAGAGCCCCAGTTAGCCTCTGTGGCAGCAGCAGCTACACAAGTGCTTTGGGGCAGAAGAGCCAGGGTTGCGCTGCCCCAGGCCCCTTCCCAGCTGTGCGTCTTGAAGTACACATGCAACCACCACCATGGAGCCCTGTTGCGGCTCCAGAGCCCGGCACAGCTGTCTACAGTCTCCTGGCTACTGGCCACAGCTGGCCTGGACTCTGGGCAGCAGCAAGTGGCAGGCAGGCTGCAAACAGTTGCACTTGGGTCCGAAGCCCCAGCACCAGCTCCCTGGCATTGGTGGGTGTATGCATGCCTCAAGGTGCACAGTAGGGAAGGGGCTGGGGCAGCGCACCCTGGTCCCTTCACTGATGTGCGCCTGGAGGCACGTGTGCACCCACCACCAGCAACAAGGATCAGGCCCTTGGCAGCTCCCCTCCTTCTGCCTCTGGCACACCAAGTCAAGGCATGGGTTGAGGTGTTTTTGGCACTCTGGCCAAAAACGTTGTAAACCCCTGCCCTAAATGCTGGAAGTCAAACTGGAGCTAAAAAAATGAATATTTAAAATGAAAAGGCAAGAATGCAGCAAGATTGTTTATAAGAAGAAAACTGTGTTAAAAAGAGGTAAGCTGAAAAGTGATCACTTCCTGGCAGAGCTGTCATTAGAAGCGGCTGGGTAGGAAATTGGATGCATGGAAAAAAAACAAAAAAACAAACCCCTCCCCCCCCAATTTATAAGATACCAGTGTAGCTATACGGTCTGTATTGTTTTCACTTTTCTCTCCAGCCGCGCAGGACAATTCTGGGGAGGTTTCTGAGTATTACAAACAACTATGTGGGTCCCTTCTCTCTCCTACTAAGATGGAAAGAACAACCCTTTGCCATAAACCCCCAAACTGCTAGCTGGTGTGTAAAACAAACCTCCCTTTTGTCATAATGAGTACTTCAAATCTGGCTTTTTGAAAGAAGACTGAATAAAGATTCCACATTATTTGTGTCATTTCAATTCTGCTGTTTTGCAAGAGGGAAGGAGAGCAAAAGCCAGCATCAGTCTATTGCATTTTGTCAGGCCTTGGTCTTATTTCTTCTTCTTTCCTGGAGCACTTAGGTGATTGGATTTGGTCCATGGGCTAGGCTAGCAGTGAAAAGCTACTTGCAGGACTCAAGATACCAGCCCATAGTATGCTGGTAAAATGTCTCAGATTGACAGTGAAAGATGACTCCCCTTCATTTAACAGATATGTATTCCAAATTCTCTTGGTAGCTCAAGACCTTGCCCAGTGGCAGCATGAGCAAATGTGATCCCAACACATGGAACCATCAGGCGATCTCTTTCATGACACTGCCACCAATGTTTTTAGGCCATGTTATGGTCATGAGACTTGCAGAGAAAAGAACAATAGTGTACTATTTCCATAGGAAAGCCTTCTGAAGAAGCAAAATCTCACAACTTGTCCTATATGAGTTAAGAAAAGTTAAGCTGGGTTTATTGGGGGAAAAAAACCAACAAGAAACCCCCCCCAAAAACTGAAACAAACAAGCCAAGGAAAGAAAAATTAAAGACAACTCAGGGGAGACTCCATAGGGATGATGAAGTAGTGCATGAGTCCAGGCTCTCTCTCTTCCACCTTGCTGCCAGCACCACTTTTACCAGTTTGTTTGTTTTATTAAGGTGCCTTGGGTCCTGCATGATCTTCAAGTTAAGTGCCGACCCCATGTTCTGCTCCTGTGTTGTTTCTTCCCCTCACAAACTACCCTAGCTGTTGAGGCAGATGTTTGTCCCACAAACCCGGTGAGGCAGTGCACTTGTCTCTTCAACACTCATCTTCTTGGTACATTTGTTCATCCAGTTCCTGGGACTCAAGGTGCTCAAGGCGGTCTGTTCGGCCACTCATAATCTCATCTGGGGTCTTCATGAACCTTCAGAACAGAAAGTGATACATGAGTTATGTAATGACCCTGGCTCCCCAGACTTGTCTCTCACCAAGTCTCTGAACTTTCAGGGCTCCTTGGTTTGCCCCCCTACTGCAATACCTTCTGCACATTTCTATTCCCTGCAACTTGCTAAGTGACTCTCTGCTCTTTCCCATTTGTACTTTCTACCACCTATGGTCCTTCCCCACATCTCCAAGTACTGACAGCCGGTCCCAAAATACAATCAGAGCAGTATCTGTTTACATAAGTATCCACACATGAAAAAGAAAGCAAACATTTATAGAGAATAAAGTGCTCCTTTGTGGAGCTAGATAGCTGAAATGCCAGGGCCCTCCATTTCAAGCATAGCAACATGTCATCACCTAAAACATAGGCTCACACAAAGCATATGTAGGGGGGGGTTTCTGCTGGCTATTGCTTTGTGAAGGATTCTAAGTCTGCAAGAGAGAGAAGAAAACATCAGGAAAGCAGAGACAGAAAAACCCAAGGACCCAAGCAGAACAAGCTCTAATAGGTGATCCTGAGAGAACCTGAGTGAGCATTTTTGAGTTCAGCATCAACTGGAAAATGGTTTAGAACTGCGATCAAAGACCGTCCTGGGGTCTTAAATTCTTTGTAAACACGGGGACTTCATTAGAGAAACACCTGACTCTAGTATCAATTTTTTTTAACCGGAAAAATCTGCAAGACCTCAAAATTTTGGCTAACCACTCAGGTTTGAAAGGATAACACTATTAACTACAAGTCTTTGCTAGATATGAGCCCTTTCTCTCTCAGGACATCCTCTTCTAATACCATAACCAAGAATGACATCCTTATTCTGGGTCAATGAGAACAGCATAGCTCATTGCCAAGGAAATGATTACATCACTGCCAATTTAGTAGGACCAGACGTGTAAATGCACTACCTGGTTTTTCTGTGCCTCTTGTACTTCCTCTTCTCCTGCCTGGGGGAGCCCTGCCCTCATGGGAAGCTTCTGAGCAGAGGCATGTCTAGCGGGACTCTCAGGGAAGGGAGTGGCAGGTCCCACCTCTCAATATTACTGCTGATGGCTCTCTCTCTGTACATGGGAAGATGTGTCCATGTGACAGAAGGTAGAGGAGAAGTCAAATGTGCAAAGTGGTGCCTTCCAACTCCAATTCTGCTCTGCTCTGTATTTGAAGGCCAAAACTGGCAGCTGTGGCCTCAGTCTTTGTCTTCCCTTATTGGATTACAGCAGTGCATCAGAGTGAAAGTTGTCTCTGAGTTTGACTTGCTGTCAGGTTTTCAGTCGCATAAGCCAGTGATTAGGGCAGGGAATCTTGACAGCTCCAGCCTCTTACCCCACCCTTCTCCTACGCCAATGGGTGCGTTGGGGGCTGGGAGGAAAGACACGCTGTGGGGGCTGGGCAAATGCAGGAAGTGGGAAAGGACACATGGTAATCTTTTAATCCCTGCCTCTGCTCATTTCCATATATCCTTTGGGTTTATGCCACCACCTTTGTACACAAACAGGGTTTTAAAGCTCTGATTTTGCCTTCTGTGCTGGATTCATGAGAAGAGAAGGTAGGTCACAGGCAGAAGGAAATGCTACTTGAAACATGCATCACTTTCATGTTAGAAAAACTAGGATGAAGTATGTGGGATGTTTAGGTATCCCTAATGCATTAAAATATTTTCCACCTTATCAAAGTCCCTCAAAAGAGGGGGAAACAGCGGGTTGTAATTAGTAAATCAGAAGGACTAGTTTTATTTTAGTCTGAATGTACAGCCAGGATCTTCACCTAGTGAAAACAAAGCTGATGAGTGGAATCATTGTCAAAACCCGTGACCCTCCAAACATCCCCACTGAAGTTAATAGGAAAGATCTGACAGCACCTCCTCCCATGAGATTATAACATGCAGGCCTTTTATGATGGAGCCTGAAAAAAATCTTAAGTCTGTCAGCAAATGCAAGGCGAAGCCTGGGGCTCTTCTGAGCATTTGCCATCCCTTCTAATTTTGAAAATCACACACACATAAGCACCAGAAATAAAGCAGTGTTTTGTCACCCTTGTGTGACTCCTGCTTTATGTTAAAGCAGTTGTTCTCACCCGGGTATTTAGAGACCCTTTAAGGGGTGCCACAGTGTGACTGGGAAAGGCTCTGCCTGCATTACGGTTCCCTGCTAAACCGAAAGCAGACAGGAACCCCCAGTCCTGCTACAGCCCTTCCCAGTCCAACCCCACACGGCGTCTCCCTCCAACAGAGGCATGCAGGGCAGACAGACCCTTTCTGTGTACCTCTGTTTCCAGGAAAAGTGCTTGTGGGGGAGAGGGGCACGGGCTGGCCTGGGAGGTTGTGCCCTACAGAATCCATGTACCTCTCTGTTGGTTTACCCTATCCCTGCGCTAAGCAGCACTGATAGACTAGGCAATGTAGCTTCCTGGAGCTTGCCCGGACCTGCAGCGCCCAAACATGCCTGCTTCAGTGGGGGAAATGGGGTGCACCAGTTCCAAAGGGCAGTGGTCAGGCTCCCCTGTAGCTGCTCCCTAGCCTCACTGGCTTTTGGGAGCCAGACATGCAGGAAAGCAGGCAGCTGGAGGAGAAGAGTGTCCTTGCAGGGGAAGCTGAAGTCCACTGGCAATCTGGAGAGATTTCTTTCTAGTGGGATTGGGGAATGGTTTAATACCAAATGGTGCTACCCTGGCCAGCACCAAGCAGGATCTACAGAATGGCTGCAGACCCTGCTGAAAGGCAGCATCCCCTTTTGTTAATTCAAGCCCATGAAGGGACTGAGGGGTCCTGAGGGACAGGAGCACCTAAAGCAGAGGGCAGCTCCAGAAAACCTCCTGCCGCATCCACACCCCTATCTGCTGATCCTCTTTTCTAATACCAGAAATGCAGTTAAAGACTGGTGCTGGTATGAGCTGGGGGGAGGGAAGTGCGGGAAGGAGAGATTGAGAGAGCATACATAGGTCAGGGAGGCAAGGGAGTCTGCCCCTTGTCTTCAGTGATTTAGGCCAACCATCCCTACTTGCACATAGGGGCTTGGATCTCCAGGGATCAGAAGCTCAGCACTTTTGGAAAATCAGGTACTTTTAAAATGTCTCAGCTCAACCCTGCAAAAAGCGGAGCTCCTAGAACAGTGATTTTCAACCAGAGGACTCTTGGGCTTCATGAATCAAGGCAAAGGTTGGGGGCAGAAAAGGCTTATTTTCCCTTGTGCTCAGAAAAGGAGGGACTTCGTCTGCCTGTATCCACAGAGGGTGCCATTAAATTCAGAAAAGCTATGGAGAGATGCCTTGAGTCTAAAAAGGCTGAGAAGCACTGTGCTAGAGTAACTCTGTTTGTGTGAGCAGAGGCAGAAGGGTATAACAACAGTGGTGACTCAGGCCATACCTTTAAAATGAAAACTTACTAAATCTGTAGGTCAGCTCCTGCCCTGACTTTCATGCCATGCCTGGCCTACTGACTTTAATGATATTTTGTAGGGGTTAGGTCAAAGCAGAGAATGATCTTGTGTCTCCTCTACCTTCTGTCCATTCCCCTTCTAAACACATGTGAAAGAGGATGCAGTTAAACACATCACTACACTTACTGTATTATTTCAGATATATTTTTAAAGTTATGTCAAGGGCACCTACAGCATCTGCATCAGACTTCCTTTAGAGCATTTAAAATATAAATATAAAAATAATAAATGGTGATGAATTAAATGGTGTCAGACATTAGCAATGACCTCTCTTGTTGCAGAAAAACACTCATCCACTCTGATATATAGATCTCTCTCCGTCTCCATCTTACTAAAAGCTCTGCATGGAGATTTTCAGAAGACAATTGCCATCATGTTATTTATAATGTCACATTTCTATTATTTTTTACTGGTGAGAAACAGCCCAGAAAGGACCATTAATGGGTTGATTTAATATAGCTGGTCATCTTTTTCACTATAGATAGCAACAAAACTGGAGGGAGAAACCTTTTTTTAATTGAAAGTGTTGCCAAAAGCTTGTTTTTCCCTCAAATTTCCAAAAAATCTGAAATAATAAATATTATTTTCTGCTAGTTTTACCCTCTTATACCCCTTTTTCTTTCTTTCTTTCATAGAAAAGATTGCCTTAAATAAAACATTTCAGTTAAAATATCATTTTTATTAAAAATGTTTTCAGTGTATGCTTTGAATGGTTCTTATTATTATCATGCAAAAAAAAATCAAACACAAAATGGTGACTTCATGTTAATACCCTTCCTGTTGCTGTTAGCTGATCTGAAACCTACTGAAGTCAAAGGAAAAAACCTCCAATGAGTTCAGTGTTGTTTGGATCAGACCCTGGGTTGTATTCAGGTTGTCCAAATCCAGTAAGGATCAGGCCTGAACAGATACAGAGCTCTGCTTCAGTACTGACATGTTACACACACATAAGTGCTATGTCTATGTCTGCTTGGCATTCTTTAGAGCAGACACTGGCACTGCATACCTCTCATTCAATAGTACTTGTTTTAACCCATGACAGCTCTGGAAATGCCCAAACTCAGTTGAGCAATCATAATGCTGAGTTGAACACCAGTACAATAAGTTCATGAGGCTTTGGTTTAGATTAAGACTTGCTCTCTGGCTCTGACCTTGACACCAAGTGGGAGGTGCCCAGATGAGGTTGTAAAGCCAGATTAAATGCTTACTGGAGTCAAGAGAAAGGCTCCCACTGAACCCAGTGGGTACTGAATCAGGTCTTTAATCTGGTAAATTGGTACAGTCCCCTGGCAGGCTAGCAAGAAGTGGTTTCAAAGGCCACGGTCCACAGTATTACACTACTGACAGTGCAGCATCATCATGCCCTTCTCAAAGAGAAATCATCTAAAGAAGGGGCAGAGAAAAGAGGAAAGAGAGAGAATTACCTGAACAAAAGCCTTTGTCCTGGCTCCTTCCGGATAATATTTAGTTTGTAGTAGTGGCGTAGGGCTCTGGACATTTTCTCATAGGTCATATTTGTTCTGTTCTGTTTGTCCCAAAATAAAAAGGAGAGCAACATAAGGTAATTAAATTCTTCATTTCTTTAGCTCTTCTTGGAGCTTTATATCACAGCTAGCTGAGGAAACTACCCTAGCTCATGAAGCAATTGGCAGATCCATCCTTCCCCTCTAGCCTTCATGACAAACTTTTCTGGTTTAGTCTTTCTATGGAGCAATCTGAATGCAGGTTACTTCAAAAACACTGAGGGTAAGATTTTAAAGGTCATGCTGGACCATACACAAGAAAAGGCTCTGTCAATCGAAGAAATGACTTCAAACTGAAGGAAGTTCTTGCTCAACTCAGCAGGAGTGTGGTAGGTTTCTTTCTAAAGAACGGCCTTAACGATGTATGAACAATAGCTAATAGACTGCATTTGTCAGCATCTTTCCTGTTAAGTGCAGGGCTCCTCTGGGATTCTTCTCCATTAACAAGTTAATGTTTATGGAGCTCTTTGGACAGGGAGATACTGTTTCTCTTCTCACTTAGGCTGCTGTAAATCAAGCTAACTCCATTAAAATGTTTATCTGTTTACATTACAAAACTGCCCACACAATTTAGCACATTGGAAATCCCAGCTCAGGAGAGGAGACAAGGTGTTGGCAGAGGTGGGCTGATGTGATGATCTGTAGTAGCAGGTGCCACCAGGCAGAAACATGGTGCACAAGCAGAGTTGTGTGTGGGAAGCTTTTTAGGGAGAAGTTCCGCATTTAGACCATACTAAATCTGTGAAGTTTTAAGTGATGTTAAAGTTAGAACATCCTGTGAGTAGTCACATGTTAAGAGTTAATACCATTTCTTTGCTGCACAGCTTTGACTTATCACTAGAGAGCTGGTGAGCAGGGGTTTGTCTAGGAATCAGGACACCTGGGCTCTATCCCTGCTCTGGGTGGTGTGGGGGTCTTGGAGCAGTGCATCCTGGGATGCTGGACTACTGTAAAATTGCTTATTTTATCTCCATGAAACAGAAAGAAGTTACCCTAACATGACCTAGGTAGCATGGCCCAGAATTAACCCTCACCTGAAGTGGCATAACTCTGAGATGCTCAAAGGGCACTTAGCACAAGTTAACGAGCTTTAACATGCAGATACTTGCATTTGAAGTGCCTTTAGTATGGTCAAAGTGTAACGTGTAACTTCACCCTTATAGCGTTTGCCTGTTCCAGGTCTGGCATGGGTTATCCATCATCACTCCTAGGGTATACCAGCAACAAAGCACTGTACAGTATGTGGGTGTTCAACACCTTCTAGGTGTCCCAAGATGTATCATTCTAAAACTGAGGCCCCCAAAAGTTATTACTAATTTTTATTAAATCTTGACCTTTTCTTCAATCACAGTCCACATAACAGGAATACAGCACCTCACCATAACCACATTGCCAATGCAACTTCTACTGTTTGGCAGTGTTAGGTTGAAAATGAGCAAAATCATTCTTAGACAAGAATGTTCTGAAGTCTGTTATAACTGATGTTTGTCATAGCACAATATTTTCTCCCACCATGAAAGAACTTCTCTCAAATCCCAGGCGAGTCCCAAAATAGAAATGCCTGTCTTTTTTATTGGAAAGTTCCAGTCCAGAAACATACTATCCCTCTATACTTCAGTCTAACCTGAGTGTCTGCTAAGTTCATACCTGACAGAGTGAGGTAACTTGAGGGAACAGAATCATTACAAACTGTAATGCATATAGATTTAATAACTAACTATCTTTACACCAAACTAAAAGGCTCTTTATATGCCTAGCTTTTTGCGGCTCCTGTTGCTGAAGACTAGAATATTTTGTAAACAGAATGAAAGATTAAATTTCTCAATAATATTTTTTCCCTCTTGCATTCTCTCCATCTAATGTTGTGGGATAAACCTATGAAACCTCTTAGCGCTATGAAAGTCAGCATTTCACAGATAGAAAATGCCTCCTGCTCTTTACCTTGTGGTTTCCCCACAGCCGGGCCAGCCCATTGGGATCCACTATCCGAAATATTTTGGACTCCTTGTCCTCCCATCGGATGAAGTTTTCGTACCGGCTGTCAGAAAGCAGCTGATAGACGTAATCCCAAAGCAGCCTGCAATCTGTGAAGAGAGGGGCAAGAAAATGTCATTCAAGTAGAGACATGGAAAAGCATAGGCTCAGGGGTGACTTGGTGGCAGCCTATAAGTACATGAGAGGGGTGCAGCAGGAACTGGGAGAACGTCTGTTCACCAGGGCACCCCATGGGAAGACAAGGTCCAGTGGACACAAACTCCTGGAAGACTGGTTTTGGCTGGACATAAGGAAAAACTTCTTTACTGCCTAAGTCCCCAGGGCCTGGAATAGAGTCCCCCCAGACATGGTGCAAGCACCTACTCTGGATACTTCCAAAAAACACTTGCATGCCCATCTTGCTGGGATCATTTGACCCCTGCCGACTTCCTGCCCCTTGGGCAGGGGGCTGTACCTGATGATCTTGCAAGGTCCCTTCCAGCCCTAATGTGTTATGAAATCTGTGAAATCTATGAAGTAGTTTTACATGAGATACATTTTGGGAGGTACCAGATGGGGCTGCAATATCAGAAGAAATATTGCTTCTCTTTCACTGTTTTTAATAGTCTTGAGACAACACAAAGCACTGCCAAAGCAGGCAAAGCACCCTGAAATAAAATTCTACAAAGGACTTGGATTGTTCATACTGATGGATATAAAAATTGTAACAGGATATACCATCTTTTCAAACTGGTCTGAACCCATTTTAGGACACTAATGATTGCAAATTGTTACAGCTGATGTGACTCAAGAGGCTTGTTTCACATGGATGAGTATTTGTATGATATCCACCAACACAACTGCTCCCAATTGATAATGTCAAGACAGTCTGATCAAGGCAGTCCATTGTATCAGTGGAGAAGTCCACTGGTAAAAAAACGTGTGCTTTGCTATACCTTGTTTGCCCAGCATGGTTTTAATGATCCATACATAAAGCTGGTATTTTCACCATTTCTAAATTTGCTTTTCAAAAATAAGCCCCTGGGGAAAAAATCAAGTACTGTAATTATTTTAGAACTATTGAGAGGTTAAATGCTTTCTATTTGGACAACTGATTCAAAATTTCCTTCTGGCAAATGCTTTTTATGCTGCTAATTAAAAGTCTGACAGATACTTAGGTTTTAGTTTGGTGTCTTTCAGTTGCACAGCAGTCTCTTGGGGCAAAGGAAGCCAGGGGTAGATCTACTTCCCCTTCTGACTTGTGATGTCTGTATAGCACAGTATAACAACAGACAACTAGGAATTATGGAATCAAGAATTCCAGAGGGGTCGGTTGACGTCATACCCACACGGGAGCAGCTCAGTCTGCCAGAACACCAACATGGCCTTATGTCACCTTTTACTGCGAAGGCAGCAAATAACATTTCCTCACCAGCAAGCCAGTGAAGGACAGCCTTGTATATTAGTTAAAGCACAGAACAAGGAGCCAGGATATCTTTGTTCTAGGTCCAGCGCTATATGTCACTCGCTTCTGTATAGGGTTCCTCTCCTGTTTGTTTTGGTTTCACTATTAGTTAAAACTGGTATGATAATATATATGGTGGTGTGTGTATGTATATAATAAATATAATACACAATGAGTAGGCTTAAAAATAGCTAGAGATTATAGGAGTTCTACATTGATTCCCCATTTTATAAACATAAGGAATATCTCTGAGTCCTGTACTAGCTTTAAAAGAGAGGTATCCACTGAATCTCTCTTAGGGCTACTGAAAGGAAAAAACCCCACGTACTTTCACGTATTGCATGAACCTGTCCACTTAAGAAAACTAAATACCACAGCACCCTGGGGCTCTTCTTTTTTGACTAAATACAGTGTCCAGTATAAGGTATTTGAAGCCTCCCTGTCAATGACCAAGACTTTTCATAGTGTTGTTCTTCTTGAACAAGAAGGAGTCCTATGTGGAAGATGGAGCTGACTAAAATGTTTTCATCAAAGTATTTTTTGGATTAAAATTTGCATTTTTTCCCTATAAATTTGTTTTCCCAATTTTTTGTTCATTGGTTTTTAATTTTTCTTTTGTTTCAATATAAAAAAATATCAATTTTGGACCAAATGGAAACTTTTAGTGGGAAATAAATCTGAAAAGTTCCCTTAATTGCCTACACAAAACAACTGGTATTTTTCAACCATCTGTGTTTCATACAACATAGATCTACAAAATTCAATCCTGCAAGGGATAAGAGTCATGTGTAGGCCACTTTGCATTCATAATTAGCATATTTATCTGGAATCTTTTACTGATATAAATGAGCACCTCAAAGTCCTTACCATCTTTGCTTCATAATGCTCCTGGCCCAATCTTACAGATGAGAAACTCAAGCTAAGGGCTAGACCCACACCCGCACTTAGACACCAAACTGCCACTTTATTAACTTGCATCCAAAACTGTGATCTTCACCCTCCTCCATTAGTTGCCATTTAGTCCTGGAGGCACTGAAGGCCTACAGGCATCTATGTTTCTCGCAATGAACCCCTTCAGCGCCTCTCTGTTTGCTTCTGGGCAAGCCAAGGGGTACCTGAATCCTGATGGTACTGGCTGAGTAGCTTGGCACCACTCTTTCACATGAGGATTCACAAATTAACCATTCCTTTGCCTGTTCCACACGCAGGGCTTGATCCAGTAGGCCTGCTTTGGGAACACCAACCACGCTTGGCCTCAGATAGAACAGCTTTAGTTGTGCCACTATTTCCTTTTTCTCCAACAACCTGATAATTAAGAGTGTTCACTAAGGGAATGTAGGAGATGCGGATGCATTTTCCTTCACTATTGCCCCAGGGAGGTCTGAACCTACATCTCCCACCTTTCAGGAGTGTGCCTTAACCACTAGGCAGGAAGATGCTGTAGTGCCAAGGAGAGAAATTCTTTAGTATTGTTTTTTGCGAGTGGGAAATATCTGCATGACAGCCTTGCCCCAATACATAATGAAATATTTTATATGAAGTAGTCAATAGGCTGGAGATTAGATCCCCCCTCATGTAGTAGTGATAAAGTGATTCTCTCTCTCTTATCAGGGCTAGGGACAGAAATTACAGGAAAACCGGTATAAGTGACTGGAAACCGGTTCAAATCTGTAACACAACAGAAGTTCAATTCACATAAACTACTTGCAAAATGGCTAAAAACAGTTTAAGATAAACCTGGATGGATGTAGTATCAGACTTAACTGATTTAGGTTACAGCAGCTTATGGAACTTCTGTCCCACATCCCCTCCAGATTCAAGTTAACTCACAGTCCCGCGGCATCACAAGAAGTTTTGCACCTCCGCCACAATTGCAGGGTAGGCAGGCTAGCCTTGGCCCAAGCTGACTGCTACAGCCCAGCAGGGAGGTGTGCTCTAGAGCCCCCCTGCCCGGCTTCTGGTTTGGGCCATTACAGGCACGTGGTTGCATTTCCAGAATCAAAAGTGAATTTCTGTTCACGTGCTTATTGGTTGAATCCACACAGCTTAGACTAACCTGTGAAGATTGAATCAATTCAGCCTCAGGCTTTTTTATTGTATTTAGCCCCAATGACTATTTAATTATTTCATGCAAAGTGGAACAGCTCCATCAGAAGTCGCAGAGGTGGTGACCAGAGTTAGTCTGAAATCAAGCAAAAGGAAGGGCAGGGTGGCACCTCAGGGCACTTCTACATGTACTCTGGGGGCAGGTGGGGGGTGCGGTGCTTTAATTAGAGTGGATTCCAGAGCTGCTCTAATTAAGGCACCACTGTGTCTCATATATCAGCATGTCTGCGCTTAAAAATGGTGGCGGGGGCGCTTGAACTAAGGCTCGTTCGATGAGCTTTAGTTCAAATGCCCCCACCACCATTTTTAAGGTGATACACGAGACGCAGAAGGCTGCTGGAGCACAGGACTTGCCATGCTCCAGCAGACTCGATTAATCGCAATTGAGTCTGCTCCGATGCAATGGAATTCCAGAGTGTCAGAGCAGCCTCACTCCTCATGTACAGGCACCCTTAGAGGCTAACTAGTTCACAGCAGCATGAGTTTTCGTAGGCAACAAACTACTTTGTCAGCTGCCATCAGGTTTTCTTCTACAAGGAGCAAAGGAAGCGGAATTTGATAGTTGCATTTGCTTTCTCCTTTTCATGGTGCTCATGCTCATATGCTATGTTGGTGAGTGCCCATGTAAGTACGTAAGACAGTAAGGTAATTCATTCCTTTTTGTAAAGAACAGTGAGATCTTTCAGTGGAAAACTCTATGGAAAAAAAACAACTAGAAAACACAAGGATTCTAATTTTTAAAAAGTCTTTCCCCTCCAACTCTTCTCTCTTCTTCCTTTTCTTTCCACTTCTCCCCTGCTCCACCAA